TGAGGGCCGCCCAGCAGACGGGGGCTCTGTCCTCCCTGGTGGCCCACCTGCCCGGGCCTCCGGGGCTGCTTTTCTCTCTGCTTTCTCTCTCTCCATGGGGTGGGGTCCGGGGAGGGCCCGGGGCCCCCTGGCCCCTGCCCCTGCTGCCCCGGTCTGCGCTGGGCCATCCCTCCCTGCCCGCAGCACACCCCCCTGCACCCCTGCTGCCCCGCCGGCTGAGCCAGGATTACTGACACATACTTTGAGCAAGTCCTGGCAGGCGGGCAGAGGCTCCTATGCCCGCGGCCATGCATTTGCCCGCTTCCCTGGGCGGCAGCGGCACGTTTTGTCAGGGAAGGAATGTGGAAGCACCAAAGTGCGAGACACCTTCAGGGTGTCACCTGGGGAGGCCGGGAGGGAGACCGAGGCAGCGCTGCCCAGTATGTCCTGGGGACTGGGGCCCAGAGCTGGGAGCTCAGCTAGCGGGTACGGGAACGCCCGGCAGTCTCCTCTTGTCCCCCCGGGGGGTTTCTGTTTCTTGCGGGGAAAGATTCCATCACTCACTCGCTCATTCATTCATTCGCTGGGTCCAGGATGGGAATCTTCGTGGGCAGCTGCGGGCTGAAGGGTGGAGCAGGGGAAGGACAGAGCCCAGAGACTGTGTGGGGGTTCACAGCGGGTATGTGGGCACCGCCCTTCTGCTGGCTCTGGAAACAGGGGCTCAGGGCCCTGGGGCCTCTGCATTCTGTGCCTTCTGGGGCCTGCGCACCTGCTTCCCATGACGGGCAGCTCATCCCCTCTCGGCATCGTGTGGGCACTACTGTCATCTCTGGGAAGCTGGTCCAGGACCCACCCTGCCTCCTGAGGCTTCTCGATCCTTTGACCAGGCTTGGGGGGGAGGGGGCAGCTGCAGAGTGTACACCTGCCGGTGTGGGCAGTCACTCGTGGAGGGGTGCCAGTCCAGGGAGATGTCCCTCACTTGGGCTTCCTGGTCGATGAAGGTGCAGCTTGACCTAACAACTTGGGTTTGGGGGTTTTTAAAATTTTCCTATCCCTTATTACAGAGTACATAAAATCCTACATAAAAAATAGAGCGAAAGAAAGCACAACTGGCATGTTGTCCCCAAATGGCCTTTCAACTTCTGTCATTTCCTCACGGACAACCATCCGGATGGCTCTGGCCTGGAGGCCACTGAGTGGTCCTGGGTTACACCCGCAGGATGGTGGCAGCGCCCCCAGAGACCCCTGCAGCCAGCAGCGGGAGGCCTGCACACAGGACCCACCTCAGGAAATGTGGCTTTACAGCTCTAAGACATTTCCGCCCCCATTGTGTTGCTGCCCAGTCCTCCTGCCTGCCACAAAGGATGCTAGCAGGTTTATGCAAATACGACAGAAAATCATCTAATAAGAGCCCAGTGAGGTGTGGGAACACAGCCTGGGAGAGCCTGTCCTGAGCGGGGGGGGGGGGGGGGGGGGGGGGGGGGGGGGGGGGGCAGCCAGGTTGGGGGTGCTGGAGGCTGGGGAGACACATGTGTGGTGCCCTGCAGAGGCAGGAGGTGAAGTGTGCCCACCTGGTGGCTCTCTAGAACAGGTGCTCTGACCATGTATCTTTGACCCATGGCCCTGGATACGAGGATGCCACTGGTGGCCGTGTGGGGGGACGCTGCCCCCAGCACCCTGAGATCCTACAAAACCAGAGGGGTCAACCTGCTGTCTGGAGTCCTCTGGTCTTAGGGCCTTGCTACTGTCCTTAGCAGCCTTGGGGCAGTAGATGGAGACCGAGAGGCAGGCAGAAGGAGCAGGGAGACTGGAGCAGTGATGGGCAGGGCCACCCTGGGGAGGGGTGCAGGGGTGCAGATTCACCAGAGACGGGGCAGCTCAGGAGGGGCGTCTTGTCCGTGGGCCCTGCTGCCTGCGAAGTTCAGCCCTCAGGTCCCACTCACCTGACACAGGTAACCTCTCACCCCTCCTCTTTGCCCCCTTGAGGCTGGTGCCTCAGGGGCACCCCCAGAATGCCCCTGGCCAGCCACCTACTCTGAACTTGAGATGCACCTGCACCCCACAAACAGCGGGCACAAGGAGACCCAGGTGGGGGCCAGAGGGGCGGTATGGGGGGGAGGGCCAGGCAGAGAGAAGGCTCTGGAAGGTGGAGGCATTGGCTGCTGAGCAGGCCCTCCTGGGGCCAGAGCTCCTTCCAGTTGGGAGTCTGCCGCCAGCAAGTGCATGGGGGACGTTGGTGGGTGGAGCGAGAAGGCCCTCTGAGGGAGAACCTGGGGGGGGCCTCACTGGGGTACATTTTGGGCCAGCCTCTGTGCTGGAGAGCTTGCTGTGCTGGGGAGAACCAGGCGGTCGCTGGCCACTGGGGCTATAACTCCAGGGCAGAGAGGGTGTGGGGTCAGCAGCAAGGGCAGGCTGGGCCCAGGGGGTTACAAGATACCCTCTGCCCAGACTCGGGGACACAGGCTGAGGGAGCCCAGAGTGCACCATGGGGCACTGGCACCTACTGAGTAGCAGGGTTCTGTGGGTCCCCTCGACCCTGAAGCCATCCAGCATCTGCAGGGCCCTCCTGCAGTTCTAACTCTGAGCATCCTGGTGTCCCAGGGGAGGGGGAGCCTACAGTGTGCAGCTCTGTCAAGGCTCTGCTCCCTTCTCTGCAGTCCCCCTGGTCCTGCCCAGAGGAGCCCAGAGACACACTCTCAGCATCAGGTGTTGGGACTGTGTCTGCATGTCCCTGAGGCTGGGCTGGGACCTGCCCCTGCACCGCGGGTGAGGGATGTTTCCACGAGTGCTGGGGAGCGGGTGGCCCTTGGGATTCCTGCAGGGCAGCTGCCAGGAGCGCTGGCTCCTCCTCCCCCTCCACCCTCCCACCAGGAGCCACACCAACTTCAAAAGCCTAATTACTCCCGATTTGGGCTGTTTCCTCATCCTTCCCGCAGGTGAGAAAGCCCCCGTTACTTTCACTTTTATATGCAAGGTGTGCGGGGGGGGGGGGGGGGCATAGCTTCGTGGGGGAGAGAGGATGAAAACACAACCAATTAGGGAGGCTGGGCGTGAAGGTGAGAAGTTATAAAGATGAGACCCTCAGCGCCACGGGGAGGAGGGCAGGGAAAGGAGGAGCCTCCAGGGTAAACTCCGCCAGGTAGGATGTGAACACAGGAAGGCTTTCCCTTGCTGGATGCTGTTGAAGTGGAGCCTTTCCATGTGTGCCCTCCTCGCCATTCCGCCTGCAGTCGGTGCAGAGATGGCTCCCTCCTGTCCAGCTGGTCTGCGGCCAGACAGGAGGCCAAACCAGCCGCCCCCAGGGCACCCTGAGCTGGTGTGTGCCACAGGGTTCTCTCCTTAGGAAGCAGAATCACTGAGGGGGGTTTCCATGGCACCCCTTCTCTCTGGGGCCAAACAAGGATTGGGTGAATTGCTGAGTGCAAGGGCTCCTCCCCACCTGCCTGGAAAATGCGGGGCTGCACCGGGTCCACTGGAGCATGTGCCGGCCCATTCAGATGGAACACACCTAGCCTAGGTGCGAAGAGGAGCACACCTGTGTGTGTATGCGTGTGGGGGGTGTCAAGGCCAGCGAGCCTCAGGGCCAACAGGACACAGATCCCAAGGTGTGGGGAAGGTCGCCAGCAGGCTGGTGGCAGGGCTCTTCCCTTTGGGAGCAGCGGCAGGGGCGAAGGGAGCTTCCTCCTGGGCCCAGGAATGCGGCGGCGGCAGAGTCTAATTAGAAGCCTGCGCTGGAGCGCGGCCGGGGGCTCTCTCGGACTGTACCCCCCCCCGCAGCCGCAGGCACCGCCGCCCCAGCCCACGCTCCGAGCGACGCGGCGCTGCAGGTGCGGTGTGCGCCGTGAGGCCGCCGGGGTCCCCGAAGGGCCTCGCCCAAGTCCCTGGGCCGGCCTGTGCCGCCCCTCCCGCCGCGCCCCGCCCAGCTGCGTCGGGACCCGCGGCGCCCCTGCTCCCGAACCATCTCGGAGAGAAAAATTATTATCGGATTAGATGTACTTCAGCTGGCTCGGTTCCCCCCCTTCCCCTCGGTGTAATTATTATAATACCAGGCAAGCCGTCGGAGCCGGTTCCTGTGTGTGTGTGTGTGTGTGTGTGTGTGTGTGTGTCACATGTGTGCGCGCACTCCCCAGCAGGCATGTGTGGGGGAACCTTCTCTCCAGCTCCAGGCATCCCCTCAGCCACCACCGTCAGGTCTCTGGACTCTCCGAGCGCAACCCGGCCCCCCGCTGCTGCGTGACCTTCGCTGGCGGGCCTCTGCCTAATCAGATACCCGGGGGGAGGGTGGCCCTGACCCCCCCTCGCCCCACTCCCACCCCGTCTGTGTGCAGCAGACCCTGCGGACCTGCCCTTGGTTGGTCTGCACCTTCACCTCGGTTTTGCGAGGGTCTCCCTGCAGTGTGCGAGCTCTGGGCGGAGGGCGCGGCCCCCAGCCTCCTCGATTGCCTGGCCTCACTTCGGAGCCTCCTCGCCCTCCCTCCGGGTCCAAGGCTGCGAGCAGAGGCCCCTCGGGACACCCCCCCTGCGCGCACACACAGAGCCGGGAGGCGGCAGGGCTGGCGCTGGCCCCCGTGGCCGCCACTCCCGGCGGGTCCTGCTGTCTTTACGTAACCGCGCCGCCGCCGCCAGCGGCTCGGGCTCGTCTCACCCACTTTGTCTCGAGGTGTGCGCGTGTGTGCGTGCGACACGGTCCTTGCGGAGGTGCGCCCGCTCGCCCTCCTGGCTTCTGGCCTCAGGCTGCCTGGCTGTTCCTGCCGTCTCTGCGGACAGCGCTCCCGCCTCTGCCCAGGCGCTGCGCCCCTTCCGACGCCGGCGGGCCCCACCAAGCCCGGGACGCCAAAGTCCCCGGAAGCTCCGACACCCGCGTCCCAGCCCCGGCCCCAACAGGTCGAAAGTGGCCCCAAGGAAAACAAGCCGCCCGCGCCCGCGGAGCCGGAGGGGCAGGGCGCGGGCTCCGGGCCACCGCGGGACCCTGCCCGAGGGGACCTCCGAGACCCAGGCGGACGCAAAGGAGACTCACTCACCACCAGATCGGGTAGCTGCCCAGCGCCTGCTTCAGGCCGTAGAGGAATAAGAAGTATCCGAGCAGGGCCATCGCCGGGCGGGAGAACGCGGAGGTCCGGGAGTCCACCCCGAGAGCACCGGCGCCGGACCCGGCCAGGCCCTGGGAGCTGGCGGGCGGCGGCGCTGGGCCCTCCTGCGGCCGCGAGGTGCGCGGGGTGCGCGGGTGTGCGCCGGTGCGCGGACTCCGAGGGCGGCGCTGCGCCAGGTGGGCCGGCGGCCGGGCGGCGGGCCGGGGCCCGGGGCGGCGCGGGACGGCGGGGGCGGGGCAGCGCCGCGGGGGGCGCCCGCCGGGGCTGGGGCTGGGGCCGGGGCTGGGACCAGGGCCGGGGCGGGGCGGGCAGGGGGCGGGCGGGGCCCTGGAGCTGGGGCGGGGGCGGCGGCGGCGGCGGCGGCCCATCCCGCGGCTGCGGGGAGCGCGGGGTGCGCGTGGTGCGCCAGCTCCCAGGGCCGCGCTGTGCCAGATGGGCGGCCGCTTGGGCGGCCGGCGGAGGCCGGGGACGGGGTGGTCCGCAGGCGTCCCCTCCGAGCTCCAGGACCGCGCCGTGGCGGGGAACCCCGCGCCCCGCGCTCGCCACCGGGCGCACTGTCTGGCTCCCGCTCGCGCTCCCACTGCGGCTCTGCGGTGCGCGCCCTCCTGCTCTCAGAGTGGCGGGACTGCACTCCCTTTCTTCCGTCTCCTTGGCACGGGGACCCGTTCCTCCGAGGCCAGGTCGGCGCGAGCTGCTCTCGGCTGGTCCACCGGGAACCGAGCTGCCCGCGCCGCTCGCTGCGGACCGCGGCGGTGCTGAAGGCGGCCTGCCCTGGGGACGGTGGCTGGGTGGGCGGCCAGGGTGCAGCCCCTTATCTGAAGGCTGGGATGGGGATCTGGGCTGTCTGGAGCGCAGGTGTTGACGCCTCCAACTTGTCCCCCACACCCCACCAGGAGAGAGGACGCCCAGTGCGTGGCGCCTCCGGGGAGGGCAGTGCAGCCACGGGTCCCTGCTCTGAGACCTCCAATCCCGGGGTCTTCCCAGCTCTGCTAGTCTCCTCAGCCAGAGGGATTTCGGACAATTTAGGTAGGCCTTACGCTTTAGTGTGGGGGAAGGGCGAATCAGAGAGGGAACGTGACTTACCCAAAGTCTCAAAGAGTGGTAGCAGTACCCAACCCCCTCCCCGCCCCCGCCCGCAGTCCCGGGAGCCCTGCTTGCACATTCTGGGGTAGGTCGAGGGACCCCAGGGGGACTTTCATTGGGGAAGGGAAGACCCAAATCCTGAACTCTCCCAGCTTCCCCTGGGCACAGGTGAGAGAGTCTGAGCCCCCGTGCCGTGGTGGGAAGCGACCCGTCAGTCTCCACCAAGCACAGCAGGAATTCATGTCACCACGATGGGGTAAAGGAAGCAGAACTGCAGCTTGAAATCCCAACTCCAGACTCTTCTCTGGTGTCTCTTGTCCTGTGGACCCCCTGCCCCCCATGAGTCCCCTCAAGCCGGGCCTTATTGCCTTGTCCACCGTGGGAGCCCCATGGAGAGGCCATGGTTTGGGCATGTGGCTGCTTCTCCAGGCAGGGGTGGCTTAGCAAGCTTCCAGGTTTGGCGCTGAGAACCAGGGGCAGGTCACACCCACTGCATGCTGCCCCCACTCACTGTGGTTTCCCCATCTGCCGAGAGAGGCAGTCCCAGGGTCGGTCACCTGGGTGACGTGTCAGGAGTCCCTTCCCAGATACAGAGCTAGAGCCCTTCTCTTTCTTTCTTTCTTTCTTTCTTTCTTTCTTTCTTTCTTTCTTTCTTTCTTTCTTTCTTTCTTTCTTTCTTTCTTTCTTTCTTTCTTTCTTTCTCTTTCTTCTTTCTTTTTAATAAATTTATTTTTATTGGAGTTCAATTTGCCAACATACAGAATAACACCCAGTGCTCATCCCATCAAGTGCCCCCCTCAGTGCCCATCACCCAGTCACCCCCACCCCCCGCCCACCTCCCCTTCCACTACCCCTAGTTCATTTCCCAGAGTTAGAGTCCTTCTCTTTCAAGGAAACCTTCCTCCACACCGCCTTTGGGATCCAGTTAAGTCTATGCATGCCCGGACCCTCTACCTGCCCCCCCCTTTTCTCCGTCACTTCAAGCCCCCCACCTGCAGCAGGAAGGAGAGAAGATTCTGGAATGAAACAAGGTGGGCGGGAAGGGAGCTGGCTCACCCTCCTCTGGACTTTCCCTCTCTCTCAGCGAAAATCCCACCCAATTATCGCATTACCGGAGACCTGGGCTGTGTGAGTGGAGTGGGGGCTGCGCTGAGGCGGCAGGCTCCCACCCCCGCCCTGGCTCTGGGGCCAGGGAATTAGAGCCATTATGGGGAGCCCCCAGTGGCTGCTGGCTCTGCGCACACAACGGGGAAGCTATCCAAGCCCAGGGGGCTCTACTCAGAATGGAGCTGATGGGCAGTTGCCCCACCTGCCAGGTCCCTTGGGGCTCGGTGTGCTGCTGGCTTCTCCCTCCTTCGTCCCTGCCTTGCTGTGCAGGTGACCTGTGCAGGTGACAGGGAGGGGAGCATGGGCTGAGCAGCCCCCTGTGGTGCAGGGGGAGACAGTGGAGTTCCCTGAGGATGTGCATCTTGCATGTCTTTGGTGGTGGCCCTGGGCTGGGGGCTCCCAGAGCCCTTCCTTCCCCTGCTGTGGTCTCAGTCAGAGCCTCCGCCCCTGCCTTTGAGCACAGAGATAAGGGGATCAGGACCCTGGAGGGCAGGTTGGCCTGGTAGGGGCTCACATGGAGGGGGGGTGGAGGGGGTCCTGCTTTATTGTCTGGGTGTCCTCAAGGCTCTGGAGTCTGTTTCCTGAGACCCCAGAAGCATGGGGTTGGGATGGTGTTCCTTCCAGCTTCCTGACTTCCAGCTGGGAATTCTTCAGGAGGGTAAAGGGCAGCTGGGTAAGTGTTTGCTGGGTGCCCTGCTCCAGAGGTGCCTGCCTCGGCCTTGGCACCCTTCCTCCTGCAGTGCCCCCTGCTGTCTCACAGAGGACAGATTGGCCTGAGGACTCCTTGTGAATGGGTGACCTGGGTGGAAGAGTCCCAGAGGCCCCCAGGGGAAGAAGTCACGTCCCAGGAGCTCTGGAAGCCCAGATGGGGGGCACTTTACTTTGTGAGAGAGGCAGCCCCATCTGTGGCCGAGTGTCCGGGGTCAGTTCTTACTGTTTACTCACTTGCTTCCTGGCAGGGAGGGTCTGGGCAGCCAGGGGAAGGGTCACGGGCAGGGTGAGAGGAGGGCCTGGGATCCTGGGGATCACCCAGGGACAGCCACTCGTCAGGGCGGGTGCTCACACCCAGAGCTGGACTTGCTTTCCTGCCTCACCTCTCGAGGAACCCAGTCCCAGAGACCCTGCCCAACTCAGCAGCCACTTGCTCCAACACTGAACATAGGACTCAGGAGGTCTCTGAAAGAAATACAATGTGTAACCCGTTCTCCTGTGTCTGCCGTGCCTCATGTCACTGCTGCTGGCTTTTCATCGTGGAAGCAGCCAGGGCCCAGCAGAGACCGTAGGCATCTCTCCCATGGATAATGCCCCAGCTCTGGGTCTGCAGTGCCCTGGGGACTTGCTGGGGTGCCCTGGTGTGCCTTGGCACACCATCTGGGAACCATGGTTCTGATAAGCAGGACCAGCAGGGGCTGGGGGAGGGGAGGTCTACCGTCACACTGGCCCACGTTCCCTCTCATCTTGTGCTCTAAGAGCCTCCTCTCCAGCCCAGATTTGGGTCAAATTTTACTCGCTCTTGATTTCCAGAACATTCTCCTTGTAGTTGCAGGCTATCCCATCAGACAACTTCTCTGAGACCCTCTGAGCACAGTGATGATGCCATGTGCCCTGGGGTCCTAGCCCTGCCTGGCATCCTGGGAAGCCACGTTCAAGGAAGTTCAGAGAAGCTCACTGCCAACTTTCCTCACACCCCAGACAGACTCCAGGCAGGATGAGGGTGGTGGTGGTGGTGTCTCTGGATTACGTTAGTCTCAGAAGTAAGTCCCTCCAGATCTGAATGCCAGTGATGGGGCTCTGGGCCTCAAGGTGGGGCAGAGAGGGTGTGTGTGGAGCGTGTTCCCGCAGGGAGCACGTATGATCCATGTGGTTTCTCCCCATGCGCTGGAGTTCCCCAGGACTGGGAGCTTGCCGAAGTGTGGGGCGGTCCTTCTGGGAACCAACCTGTCCATCTCAAGTTATCCTCCACGATGGGCGCTCCCCCAGCCTGGGCCAAGACCAAACCCCGGATCGGCTTCTCCTTGCACAGGGGAACTGCATTTGGGGGTGTCTGGAACCTCCTCCAGCAACCACCATGCCTTCATGCTGGGGAATCAGCAGCCACCCAGCCCGCCCCTTTGGGTGTCCCATGGGGGGCTGCCCTCAGAGGCTTGGTGAGTTAATGTCGCCCGAAGCTGGACTCCTGTGTGCATTCTGGGCTGTGCCACCCTGGCTCCTGTGTCTCACTGCCCAGCCTCCTGCCCCTGGCTCTGGTTAGGACAGGGCCACCTTGCAGGTGCCTGGCAGACCCTGTGCCCCTTGCAGTTTGCATTGTAGTTGAGCCTGCTGTCCCTGGTCACTCGGATGGACGGAAGTGGCCTGGTCATGTGGGAATCCCAGTGTCATGGAAGAGGGGCAGCAGGCTGTAGCTCCCCAAGTAGCCGCACAGTGCATTGTCCCTGAAGGAGCGTTTGCTCTGGACATGCTGGCATCACCCAGTCACAGGGTCAGGAGACCCAGAGCAGTTGGAAAGTAGAGCCACTGGATCTCGGCATCAACTGCTTCCCAAAGCAGGGAGCCACAGGGAGAGTCTTAGGACAGTGAAGAAACAGAGAATGGGGTAAAAATCAGCAGAGTGGTCCTGCAGTCCTGCCAGCAGCTCAGTGTAGTCAGGTGTTCTGGAGGCCAGGAAGGTGGGGGGGGGGGGGCTTGAATGCTGGCACCAGGGCCTGGCTCACGCACTTGCAAGAGGAGAACGTGAGTCAGCTGGACTGACCAGACAGCTGCTTCTGGGCCGACAGCACCACCATGTGGAGATGCTGAGGGAGGTGTGGTGGCGGCGCTGCCAGAGTCACAAAGGGCCTGCAGGCCTGGGGCTCAGCTGTAGATGGAGCAGGCTCAGCACCCTTCTGCCCCCTGGTGGGACACTCTCCTCCTGGCAACAGTGGTGCCCACATTAGGTGTGGCTTGCGAACTGCTTGATGCTGAGATGGCTCTAGACGTGGTGTCACT